CCGACTTTTGGTTCGGGAGTTATGATTTTTCGAGAGTTTTTTGTACTTAAAAAATTACGTAGTTACGTGTATTATGGATTTGGGGTTTTCGTTTGATCACTATGAAACTCGAGATTCTGGTCTTTTGGTATACGAGGATTAAAAAATGGTCTATAGTTGAAACACGTACGACCATTATTTCGCCCGTAATCGGAGTAGCAAAAAGTTGAAAAATACAATAAGTGATATTATTCGTATAACCAGACGTTTCCTTATGGTATACGTCTGTATAACGTTTTAAGTTATAATTATTTTAAACTTTTTTTCGCATTTTTTTTAGTAGGAGTGTAGCTCATTATTTATAAATGTAAATCGATAGGTATATAAAAACAAAATATTAAAAACTATAAAATAATAGGTCAATTCACTCTAATATATATTTGAGCTAACAACACAAAATTGGATGTATATTTTGAAGTAATAGTTCCTTCAATTTGGGTTGTATCGTCTTGAAATCTTCGAGGTTCAATGTATTGACACCTCTAGATCAAATTTATGTTCTCAAAAAAAACCGTGTCTCGTATTTAATTTTGAGAAATTATCAAAACAAAATTTCCCGCCAATTTTTTTTTGAATACGTAATTTACCTACTTAATAATTGAGATAAAAAACTTTTACTTGCTGGCAAATGATCTAGGTACTCTTCTGCATCGATCCTTGAAGGTTTCATAAAGATAGGAGATTCATTGAATGATTTAGGCTTTTAGATCGGTTTTTCAAATTCGTATTATATGGAAAACCTAAATCATTCAATTTAAGACCTATCTTTATCAAACCTTGAAGGAGCGAAGATAGATTTTAAATAACACATGTATGTACGCTATAGGTTCACAACTATAACACAAGGATGTTTGCTATATTATATTGGAACAAACTATGTGTTGGGACTAAGCATGATGTTGGTTGGTTAATGGTTACTATTTTACTACATTGATTTTTAATTTCATATTGAGCCTTTAAATTAATACAATTTTCAAAATAATTTAATTAATATTGTTGTTTTTTTTAAATTTTAGTCAGCGAAATACAGGAACTGGTGTATGCATGTACCAAATAAGTCATCTAGGAGATTATTCTGTTTGGAAAAACTTCTTCTGAAAAACGGTTTCCACATGGTGGTTTACGAGTAATGAACAAAATGGGCATCTAACTTCAACTTCTAGGTTTACCCTTGAAAAAATGTCATTAAGTTATACCACATGCAGTTGTAAATACACTTACACATATAATCACAATAATTACATAATTGATATTTTCAAAGTTTAGAATGTCAATTAGAATAACTCGTTTCATCAAAAAGTTAGAATTTTAATATAATTGTTATAATATGCAATAAACTTACCTTTTTTTTCAATATCATATAGGTACCGCATAATCATGATCGATGATTAAATGATATAAAAATGGACAATTTGATTGAGTTAACACTTAACATAATAAATATAATGATTAATGATGAATAATGCATACTGATTTGTTTTTTATAATTTGTATATACTATTTGACTAGACAGTGTACAACACTAAATCGATTACCAACTAAATATATTTTAGTCAATACTTAATTTATTGTAAGCTTTAAATAGATATGCAGTGTTTTATCCAATACTACTTAGTACTTACCATATTCTTAATGTTCAATAATAAGATGGAAGTTAAATACATCATCACCATTATAGATCAAGTTAAGAAAAAAACATTATATAAATATATAGCAATATAGGTAGTATTATTTAAACATTTTTAATTAATGAAAAGTTCATACATACTATCCATTTAGAACTTAGAATGTAAAAATTAAAACCATAGTATAAGGAATAATAATTTCTTATACTATGATAAAAAGTACTGAGTGTTTTAAAAAAAATAAATGTGTGCTACTCTACCTATGTTGTGTTAAAATAAATTAAATTATTTATCTAACTATCTAAGTAATCACTGTAGCTTATGAAAAAACCAGTCTGTTGTTGTTCATGTACAAAATGTATCTGAACCACTCAGAACCCCCTGAAAAAAATTCTAATGCTGTGCCTGATAGTTATTAATATAGTATATAGTGTGTACTGAAAGAATTCAGATTTGTTTGTTTAATTAATATAGGTAGTATTAAAACTTGCCAATTATAAAATATTGAGTGCTGAGTGGGTATAATATTACATATAAATAATAATGTTTATTTTAGTAACAGTAAAAAATCTGTAGGAGGGAAACATTTCAAATTTGTTCTACACTTGTGGGCTGTGGCATTATAAGTACGGTCTGCAAATTAGTATGGTGGTAGTGTAGTAGTAATAGGAATCTATGCATAATAAGCCGTCTAAAAACACAAATATTACAAATTTGATACAATCAGAATTAAATTAATTAATTAAAAGTTTAAAATTAAATGTTATACACTTATACCCAAAACACGTATTATAAGATGTTACAATAATAGGTATTAGGTAGGTACTAATGATCGGTTGTATACAGCTTAAGCAATTATTATATTAATTTATATGCTTTTTATAACTTTTTATTTTTAAGTTAGTATTGCTAACCTGTAGTTATATTTTATAAGCAGTAGTTAGGATTTTAAATATTCGACCCGGGTCCTTATCATTTTTCAGACAACTGTCCCCAACTCGTTATACTATATTTTGTTAAAATAAATAATATTGTGATTTTTATGATAAAAAATAAATAATTTTGTTGATAAAATATAACCAGCAAAATTGAACCATGGTTCAGGTACGCGGTTGCCTATAAGTGATAACAAAGAACAATAAATAAATTGTCGTCCAAAATACGGTCGGCGGTAATATTTGTCGGATAAAATACGGTCGGCTAAAATACTGTCGGCTGAAATACGGTTCGGCCAAAATATTTGTCGGCTAAAATACGGTCGGTGGTAATATTTGTCGGATAAAATACTGTCGGCTGAAATATTTGTCGGCTAAAATACGGTTCTGCTAATATACTTGTCCAATCAATTATTTTTCGGCTGAAATATTTTTCGGCCAAAATACGGGTCGGCTGAAATATTTTCGGCTATTTTACGCGCTCCCCTGACAATGATGCTTTATTTAGAGACAAAAATGATAAAACAGATGTGGTGCCTGGAACTGGAAAAGTTGTTATTGAAGAATTACTTATTAGCATACCAATTGTGACTTATAAAGATGCGTATAAATTTAAATTGATAAATGATTTAGTTTCATTGTCCAAGAGAAATGAATATACATTTAGATTCAAATCATGGCAGTGTATTGAAGAAAGTAATATTACTGGTAAAACACAAAACAAAGATATAACAAATATATATGCAAATATCCATAATCCTTTATTTGCTATCGTAGCTTTTCAATCAGATAGATTAAATAATCAACTGAGAGACCCAATAGAGTTTAGTAATTGTAATTTGAAAAATATTTGGTTGGATATTGGTGGTATGAGGTATCCAGAACGATCATTAGACTTAGATTTAAAAAAAGAAAAATTTAATAGAGCTTATCGTATGTTAATGAGTTATAAGAATGTTTATAATAGAGCACATAGAGATTTATCTTTAATGTATATAACTCCAGAGGAATTTAAAAATATCAGACCATTTTTTGTAATTGATATAAGTAGGCAACCATCACAGATTTATGGATCTAAATCAAGAATTATCTTATATGCAGATTTCAATGAAAATGTGCCCGCCAATACCATTTGTTATATTTGCTTAGTATCTGGTACAGAATTTTTTTATGATCTTACCAATAATACAATTAGAGAAAATATATAAAATATATATCTTAAATAAATGGATTATTGTAAAATATGTAAATCACAAACTAGGAGTATAGGTATTCCTGATTTTATTAAAAAAAATAATAAATATAGGAGATTATCAGTATGTAAAATATGTAATAAGAATAAGAATAATATATCAAAGTCACCAGAACTTATAGAAATTTATGAATTATTTAAACCAGCTAGAAAACATTTTGAAACAAGACATTTTATACAAAGAGGTATAAATGAAACTTGGCAGGCTGTTTTGTACTGTTTTTATAGGCCGAAATCTACAAATAGTGATCCCAATTATAATTTAAGAAATAAACATAATGAAATTAAAGTTAATGATAACCATAAAGCCTTATATAAAACTAATAATGGTTTTAAATATATACTTAATGTTATTGATACATTTTCTAAAAAAGTTTATTCTGTAGCTTTGAAAACGAAGAGTGGATTAGAAGTATCTGAGGCATTTTCACAAATATTTAAACATAATGTACCTAAGAAATTACATGTAGATAAAGGTAAGGAATTTTATAATAAAGATTTAAAACAAATACTAATTAAATATAACATAACAATGTATAGTACAGGCACCGATAAAAAGGCATCTATAATAGAACGTTTTAACAGAACATTGGGTGATAAATTAAAGAAAGTACTTTATTTAAACAATGTATGGATTACTGAATTACCAAAGATTATTAAGGCATATAATAATATATATAATAGAACGATAAAAATGAAACCGGCTGATGTAAATAAGAAAAACGAGAAATACTTACTTTCTACTGTTTATAATTATGATATTAATAATTCTAAGCCTAAATTTGAAATAAATGATAGAGTTAGATTATCTTCAATAAATGATGTGTATCGAAATAAATTAAAAATAAATTGGTCTAAAGAAATATTTACAGTTGAAAAAGTTATTAAATCAAATGTTATTTATTATAAAATTTATGATATAGAAGGTACAGTTTATGAAGAAGAATTACTGTTATCTTTATTATAAAATTATGCATTTTTTCTATATTTAACACTTCCGTAATCTACGGACGTGTTAAATATCAAAGTAAAATTAAAGAACGTTTTTTCTTTTGATTCATTATAAACTAGGTCAGGTACTCGGAGTACCTGACCTGCATATTTAATAAGTTTACAATATATAATTATAAACATTTAGTTTTTAAATGATTATAATTTGTAACCATATGGTATTGTATCATAATCTGGTAATATTATTCTTTTATCATAATCAAATGAGAATTTTTTTGTAACATTTTTAATAACTAAAGTTTTAGTAATTGTATCACGTGTTATTTGTTTGTATTCTAATTCTATATTAATATTTTTATTATTTTCTTCAATTAATTTTATCATTGCTTCCCCATTAAGTTTTAATAAATTTTGATAATTTAAAGTAAAACCCTTTATAACCGTTTTAAATGTATTATCATTTGTTTTATAATAATAACTTTTAGGACCTGTAGATGCCCAATCTGTTATATGTACATTTTCACCTAATTCATCAGTCCATTCGCCCAACATTGTTCCTGTTTTAACTTTATTAATACCATTATCTATATAGAAAATAGAGTCGGTATCATAACAAACTACAGCTCTATCTAATTTATCTAACATCTCATATAATCTTAATCTTGCACTTGAAGTGGTGAATAAAGCTATCAAAATATTAGTATTATGATGATTTTCAATGTAATAATCTTTAAAATTATAACACATTTGTATCATATTGTCATTTAATAATTTTATATTTATATTTTCTAATCTATCATCTAATAATATTTTATAGAAGTGTTGTGGGTCTGTAACAAACTCAGTTTTTTTCATTTTTTGTCGCTGTCCAAATTTTCCCCATAACCTAACTACTCATAATTTTGCTACAGCTCTTCTACCAGGATTATCACTTATTTGATTTATATCCAACAAAATACCCATTTTATCAAAAACTTCTTTTACATATTCTTCATTAGAACTATAATTATGTTTTGAACTTTCTAATTTTATTTTCATAAAATTCTTAATATACTCTTTAAATAAATCTGTTGTTTTTTCTTTAAAATGCCATACTTCATACATTTTTCTTATTATGTATCCTTTTTGTAAAGCTTTATTAACTTCATCTGTTGTCCTTGTCCATGTTCCTATAAATTGTCTTTCATTTGGAGAATGATTAAATATTTTATTTTGATAACATCTACAGCACATTTATAACACAAAGGAAATAATAACTTTTCACTTTTTTTCATTTTAATTTTAACTGGAAGTACAGGATGATAAAGATTTCTTTGAGGTAAAAATTTACGTTTAATTAATCCAAACCAATTTTTATCATATACTTTTGGATTAAATATTTTTTCAGGATGCCCAACAGGATAATAATCATAATAATTCACAGTTGGATATAAACTACATACATCAATATAACCCATTTTTTTATTTTTTACTCTTAATTTTGTCGCATTTGTTCTACCTCCAAAGAAAGCCTCTCTAGGATTAATAGGGTCAGCTATATCAGCTTTTTCCATTTTTTTTGTATATATTACATTTATCCAATCAAATTCCCATTGTTCAATAAGATTATAACCTGCATTTTTTATTATTTTACTTCTTTCAATTGTTTTTTGATACAAATCATCCATTGTTTCATGGTTTATATTATTTATAGTTTCTCTATCTCTATAACATTTAGTACAACCGTGCCAAAAACATCCATGATATTGATAAACTGTTTTTGATTTTTCATCATAACCATCTTCTTTAGATCCTGCTATTATTTTTTCACCACCATTTAAAGCGTGGTAGATATTTATGTTATTAAAATGCTTTAACCATGTTATAGATTGCTTTGAATAATTTTCGTTTTTCTCTTTATCTAAAACAGCTATAGTATCGTATATGAAATATTTTGATCTATAGATAGCCATACAAACACCTGCTATAGTTGTATAGCGAAAAGGATCAATATTAATATTTCTTAAAATTGTTTTCTAAGTTCTAAACAACCTCTTCGTTCGATATCCACATCTGAAGTACAGTATGCCTCTAATTCTTCTTTTAAATTAAATATATAATTTTCATTAATTTTATCATTATACCATTTTTCAAATTCTAGTTTATTCTCTGGTTTCATTGTTTCAAATCCATAATATTTTTTATCAGGTAATATACCAATATAATTTTGATTTTCTACTGTATTAAAGAAATGAGGAAAGTAACCTTTTTTCAGTTCTTTAAGACCAAAAGTTTTGGGACAACTACTTAGTGGACCATGAATACAATTAGAACTATCTATTATTCTTATACTTAAATTTTTAATTTCTAATAACATTAGTTTTGTACCATTATAAATTGTAAATGGCTTTATAGTATTATCAACCACGTATTTTAAGATAAATTGTGATCATATCCTTTTGCATAATGTGCTATAAATGTATATCCCTTATAATCCTTGGATATTATATTATGTTTACAAAATTCTTCATTTGTATCAAACATAATTTTATTTCCTTCAAAATCATGAGCAATTATTTTATTTGCGATATGAGTTCCTGTTTCTTGTTGAGCTTCATAATCAAAAACAAATATTTTTCTGTATAAATACATTTAAATGGTTTATTTGTACCTCCACAATTTGTACATGTTGCTAAGCATTTACCTCATAATGCTAATCTAGGCTGCATATAACATTGATGTTCATTTATTTTCACTTCTTCTTGACAATTTCTACATTCTCTAAATCCACATTTATGTATATCATCCAGTTTAGTAAATCTTTTACATATTTTATTACAATCAATACATTTACGTACATACATACATACAAAAAAATGATCATCTAAACATTCTTGATTATAACAATATCTGTTACATTTTTGGCAATATATTTTATTTTTGGTACTACTTGAATGTTCAGGTCTCTGACACAATTTACATACATTTTTATCTTTAACACATTCATGTTCATTTTTATTTTTATATGTTTTATTACACTTTTCACAATAATAAGAAGAACCATAAAAGCCTGCCATTGATTTAATAACATCAAAATGATTACCATTTTTATACAAATAAATTTTAGTTTCTTTATCATCACCTTTATAAATTAAAGCATTTAAACTTTCAGCACAAACAATATTTATTTGTATATCTAGTATTTTTTCCACATTTTGAATATCATCCAATGTAAATCCTTCTTCATTATATTCTTTTAACATATTACATAATTTTAAAGTTAAATCTTTTTGAATTTTTCTACCCATCTTCAATTGTTTAATTTTATTGGAATCTAATTCATGATCTAAAATATTATTTGTTTGAGGAGATAATGCAACGATAATAGCTCTTGGACAACATAAATTATCATCATTATTAATCTTAATAATACTTCTTTTAGTATGGATATCGTTTGCTAAATTTAGTATTTTATTTCCTTTTGAGCCTCTTGGTATGTTTACTATTTGAACTTGAAAAGTAGTTTCTGTAATAGTAGGTAGAAAAAGAGAGTTCTGAAACCTCATCCTGCTGGCAAATTCCTATACCCGTCTGCTCATCCCATTACACCGTCTGCTCATCCCACTATACCCGTCTGCTCATCCCACTATACCCGTCTGCTCATCCCACTATACCCGTCTGCTCATCCCATTATACCCGTCTGCTCATCCCACTATACCCGTCTGCTCATCCCACTATACCTGTCTGCTCATCCCACTATACCTGTCTGCTCATCCCATGGGTTGAGCTAACTATCACGCACGTATACGATATGCCCCCGCCACCGCCACCGCCACATTACCACCGCCACCGCCACCGCCACCGTCACCTCACCACCACATTTTTAACAATAAACGTTCATCACATTGACAATACCACCACAACAGCCACCGGCAACAGCCCGATCGCGTAAGTGCGCTACTATGCGTTATCATATTACCGTTAACACTTGTACATTACCGCGAGCAGTTCTGCCCTAAACTGATATCACTTATCACATTACTGTTAACAAATAATAATACGAGTGCAAATGTATAACATGGTATCCTCATATAATTGTGCAAGACACTACCTTTATTATATATATATATATATATATACATGTAAATGCTAAACACATTATTTACCTAATCCCCACTACCAAACACATTATACATAACCCCCCACTACATACCATACATGGTTTAACAATTAATACTCTATCGTGTGAATATTCAGCCTCAGTTTTGATTTAACAGCGTCAAGTTGTAAGTCTCAGTATATTGCTATAACAGTGTTAATATGGCAGGACCAATAAGTGAAATGAAACGGGTATACAATTATGTTGCACCTACATCTCCACATGAACTCATGGATTGCTCTAATTTTACAATAGACTTTGAAAATCGCAAATTCTTGAACGTCGGATTCGATCCAAAAGATCAGTTCAATATCGTTTTGCAAATAATTACACCGTCACGGTATGTAAACATTTCATCAGACTTCTTGAAACGAATTTATTCAGTCATGGGCCATGTTTTGTCACACGTTCTCGATCCTGTTGTAAAATATAAAAAAATTATTTTTTTGGAAGATGAAGTCGCTTTGCTTACAAGTATGGTGTATAAAGGAGAGCATGTGTTGGTTATAGAGTCAAAAACAACAAACGGATGTAGAATCATATTAAGTCGTAGAGATCTTATGACAATTCAAGATTTAGAGTGGGCCATTTTCGAAACAATTTCAAGAAAAAACGATATCGTAAAACCTATTATTTTAAATCAACTCGAACAAATATCCGAATACTTTAATACTGATTTTAATAATGATAAATCTGTGACACTGGAAGAAGTAAAAACAATAATCAAAGGAATTGATATCGAGTTAATCGCAATGCATGTACCGAAGCACAAACATAGTTTTATAAGCCAGATCAAATTATTCGCGACTGAACAGCTAGCTATCAATTGGATGACGAAGAATTTGCCAAAAGTAAAAATATATATATATTAAAAAAATTATTTAACATATGCATTCAATTAGGCTGTGGATGAAAATGATGATGATGATGATGATGATGATGAACTGATAAAATTTGTCCCGCCTACCCAGAGGAGGCCTGAAGCAAACGATTTAAAGGTAATAATATATAACTTTTTTTTATTATGATTACTTATTTTCTATTTATTTTAGTATTATACGGAGACCTTTGACGTGGAAATGCTGCAGCCATCCCCACCAAGATACTCAAGTATGTCTCCATTAATGACATATAACGAAGACGATTTATCACAGTCACGAGTAATTTAAAATTAAAATAATAAAATATTTAAGTATTAAATGTAATTTAATTTTTAGGCAGCTGACGAGGAGAGAAGGTTCAAGGAAATAACCCATTCGATGAATCCTGCTAAACTTCGGAAAACTAAACCAAAGGTAATATACATAAAAATATAATTTGTATGATGAATAATCATTCATTTTTTATAGGCTTTTGATGAGAACGACGGTCCGACATATTTTAACAGACGGCCATCATCCCCACCATCTCTGTTCAACTGCAAGTCAGCAAAACCATCTACTCAGTGTATTACACCATTATTTTATCAAAAATGATAATAAATATTCTATATATCATAACTTGTTTTATTTTCTTATACATATCCCCACCATGTAACTTACTGTAGAGTGGGGATTCACCCCTACTCTTAACGAGCGCTCGGTGGCACTGTTTAAAAGGGCGACACAGACTTATTTCAATACAGCCGTGAGTCTTCCGTCAAACGAGTCGTGTGCGTACCCGATTGCTAACTTATTTCGAGACAGTTTTGAACGTATCTAACAAAAATGGCTAATAATCTGATCGATTGTACTACATTCTTTATTGATAGCAATATTTTTATAAATATAGGATTAGATCCTGATTTTTTGTTTAATTGCGTTATATGCATCTCAAATAACTCGCAGTGTGTTAAAATGAGTGTTGAATTCTATAAATCTCTAATTAATATAGCTCTTAACTACATCAATTTTTCACTTCCATCTCATTTAATACTGGATGAGTTTAAATTGGCTTCAGTAGATAAATACAACGGTGACAACGTTCTCTCGATAAAGTGTTTGCAACAGGATCAACATGTACGATTAACTAAAGAGAATGTTTCGAGGATCTTGCAATTAAATGATGCCGTGGAAGAAGTTATTCAGATGAAAAATATATACACACGACCTAGTGCATTACGTCAGGCCTGTGGTATTTCAAGGTATCTTGGAAAGGAAATGCCGTTACCCAAAGATACAAAAATAAGCAATGTTGAAGATTATTTATCCCGTATCGGTGTCCAAGAATTGAAAAAACAACTCAATTTCACTGGTATTTGTTTAATAGCAGATTTGAAAATCAAGGCAGTCAAACAATTGGCAAGGGGATGGTTATCTTCTTCTTCTGCCGAAACTGAGGTAATACGATTTTATTTTTACATATTATTTTATACTAAAGAAACAAATTTTTCGGGACGAGGGCATTTGTAGCACGTAAAGCAGCCCGCACATTAATTTTTCGTTAATAATGTAATATGACATTGTAATATCACATTTTATTATGTAATTTTCATATTTTTGTAAATTATTTAAAAACGCGAACCATTAATGTAATATTTTATTGTAATATGACATTTTATTATGTAATTTTCATATTTTTGTAAATTATTTAAAAACGCGAACCATTAATGTAATATTTTATTGTAATATGATATTTTATTACTTATATATAATAAAAAAAACAACGTGATATTTAAAAAAAGTATTTTTATTTCACAAACTATTTACAATTTCCTTACATCGCCATTAAATGGATTATTAGTTATAATTTGGTAGTGTAAGATACATGATATTTTAAAAAAAAAAAAAAGTATTTTTATTTTACAAGCTATTTACAATTTTCTTACATCACCATTAAGTTATAATTTGGTCGTGTAAGATGAGACAATAAGCTGCAGTCTTTTCAGGAATGGCAATATCGGTCTCAAATTCAATACGCAGGTCCACGGTTGACGACTTCACATTGTCGTTTTGATGCGATAGATCGACAACGGCGATGGGTGCATGGTTTTGATAAGTATTTTTTGACAGTAACGGCTCGCAATAGTCTCTTTCGTAGTACGATTTTTGAAAATCTGTGTAAGCTTTATACAGTATCGAAGTTTGTTTGTTTTGGAAGTCTGCTCGGAAATCTTCATACGGATACGCTTCAGAATTTAAGTATACCTTAAGATTTTTCAATCTACAGTGGTCGAATAGGCCTGCATCATGTGTTATAGTATTTTTTCGATCTGTTTGAAATCCAATTAATACAAATTTAGGTTTTTCGAGTAAATTGCTAGACTTTACCGTCCACGAATGTGAAGTATTTTTAGGTAACACTGGGTATTCACATAAATCCCAAGTTCTGAAAGCACACGATAACGTTTTACGAGAATCCAATATTTTTAACAGTCTTAACTTTTCTTTATCACTAACTTTGATAATAGGCATCTTCCATAATATTTTAGTCAGTTCGACTGTAATTTTTTTATTTTTCTCGGAGTTATCAGTAACGTGTAATGTGTCAAAATCTGTCGATGAACGATTCAAAATCAATTGTTGATTACAATTAAGTAATATTTTTTTGTAATCTTCAAAAAATCCAAATAGATGTTTCAGTGGAACGCAGCCGGTAAACACATTGTTGGTCATGAAATTTTTATTATTATCGTTACTACCCAACGACGACCCCCCAAGCTGCATTATCCAGTGTGTTCAAGTCGTTTGGAGTATATGAACAGTAACCTTTCAAACAAGACGAAATTCCTGGTGATTTAATTTTCTGAACTTCTACGCCGTTTATCTCGTATCGCATTTCGGAGAATAAAAACGCCAATCCATTATTCGAAAAACTAACGTCTCCAACAGCATCTGTAGGTTTATTTACTTTTCCCTCTATGTACAGATAACTCTCACACGGAAAAGTGTAAGAATCCATATTTAAAACACTTATCCTAATTTCATCGTTATTAGAAAAAGACATGTTTGAATATGGAGTGAACGAATGATAATTCTTTTGAGTTATTTTACACTCGTCGACATAGCCGGCTGCTACGTCTAAATAATATGAGTCGTCCATAATTAAATTTTCAAGGAACGAAGAAAATTTAAATTATTTTTCGTGAGTTTAGTTTCGGTTTTTTTCGGTTTGGATGTTGACTTCTTGACGGCTGGTACAATACTGATAGGTTTTTTGATTGTTGCTCTTTTTATATTGATGTTAAATTTGAGCGCCATACCCCCGCTTTATTTGCAAGCGAATCGTAATTGGTTCGCCGCGTAGATTTATTGGACAATCGTTCTGATCTTTTAATACGATATTTACTCTAGATATTGAAGTCGTGTTGAGACCATAATAAACTGGATGTCTAGGTACCTCGACGATTTTATAGCCTGCTGGAACAGTTGGATAGAGTTCGTGTATGATCTGGCTCGGTGCTCCGTCACAAAATGAGCCAGTAATCAAGTTGCACTCGACTTTTATACTATTTATTTTAATTATCTTGACTGTACTTTCAGATTCGTGATTGATACCAGCAGTGTATAAAACATTTCTAAAACCCAACAATTTCGCTATGCTATTCTTGACGCCCAAGTTCACATCGTGACTACACGAGAGCGTGCACTTTAATGTGCTATTGTTTGCTTTTAATTCAAACCAATCGACATATTCCGGCATATTTTTTTGTATAACAGACTCTAAATTATCAAACTCATACGAGCCTGTAGGTATAATAACGTCCTCATTTTGACCGAACATATTTTGGAAACCGATAGTATTGCAACCGGGTTCGATGTTTGGTATAGAATTATTTGTCTGTAAGCTCAAAAGACATATTTGGGCTGTGTTTTCCACTTCTATCGGCGGAAAAATATCGCATGACAATTCACTCGAGTTCCCGTTTAACGTCAACGTGTACATGATAAAAATTTTAAACACAAGTGCCCGCAGTTTGTAGTATTATAATTCTGATCTCTGTTGTAATTGAAGTTAATGTCACAACCGCTAAAATATTTTTGTACTTCCAATGGAGGTTGTAAATTTCCAAAACTGTCGTACTAATCGACTTGTTTTCCGATTTTTTTATACGCTACCCAGTGAGTGCCTGTACCGCTTTCCGAGTCCAAGTTAACAATCGCTGATTCTATTAGTTTGGGGCGTGCAGATAACCTGTCTCTAGTAAACACGCCGATGAAATGAGGTATTTTCATTAAACGTGCTATTTTTATAAGCTCGTAATCGTACAGTGCTCTTCTGGGTAACGTAGATATTAGTTTTTTTTCGCTTTTTTGCCTCCACCTCTTTTATATGGGGCGAGATATAAACCCGAACCGATTTTGTACGAGTTGCCCTTATACGGAGCGAGATATAACCCTCTGCCCAAATGAGATGGTGTGTTTCTTTTAAATTCACAACGTTGGCAACACCTCCAGTTAGAGCTCCCAAAGCCGATAAACCAGCGAAAATCGGAATAAGTGGCAACACACCGCCTTTTTTCGGAACTGTTATTATTCTAGGAACTTTTGTATTTTTATTTTTGAATGTTTTTCGTGCAACGGCTACACATTTTTTACTTAATTTCATCAGATTTTTTTCACCGATATTTTTCTTTATAGCGTTTTTAACTGCTTTGATGGCCGCTTTAAACCCACATCCAGCCCCGATCTTACGTTTTGCTTTCATGGCCGTAGTCACGCCCCAAGCCACTGCTTTTTCTTTTAGACTAGAATCTTTTGCCTTGAACCTATCCCAGGCTCGCTGCTCTAATATATAGTCAGCCTCGTTACGATCTGCGATAGAGTTACTACGATCGTACGCAATATCGTGATCTTTACACGCAGAGTCCAAGGGGTTGATTCCTTTATCTCCGTGAGCCAAACGTTTTTTCAAATTTGTACCAGGTCCACAATATTGATAACCTACACAGATACATCATGATTTAAATGAATTAAAAATAATCACCAAAACTTACCGGGCACGTGAATCTCGAGTGGTAATTTGTTTATAAGCGTGTTGATAAGACCACCACCCTTATTCTTGTTGTTTCTTCGTACGAGTGACATCGTGTACTGATTACATTCCCCTTGCTACAAAGATATTTATATATATAAAAATGAAATTAATTGAACAAAAACTAAAACTTGCAGTTGAAAACGTGGACCCGCCTACATCGATTCAGTACTATAGACATGGAGCGCTTCTTCCCAATACGATACGAGCACTTATTGTCGGACCTTCGGGCTGCGGAAAAACCAATTTAATTTTCGCTTTACTAACCAATGTAAATGGAATAAGATTTCATAACGTTTACATATATTCTAAAACATTGGATCAACCGAAATATAAAATGTTGAGTGATATTTTATCAGACATTGATGGAGTACAATTATTTACGTTCTACGAAAATGAACAAGTTATTGAACCCGAGAAAGCTTTACCAAACTCTGTGTTTATTTTCGACGATATTATTTCAGAAAACCAAAAAATCGCTAGAACTTACTTTTCCAGAGGTCGACATAATTTAGTGGATGTTTGCTACCTGGCTCAAAGCTATTCAAAAGTACCTAAACAACTTTTGCGTGACAACGCTAATTTTATTGTATTATTAAAACAAGATGAAACTAATTTAAAACATGTTTACATGGAGCATTGCTCTGGCGATATGTCATATACTGAGTTTAAAGACTTTTGTACGACATGTTGGCGTAAAGGGAGATTTGAGTTTATCGTAATTAATAAAGACTGCGAACGCAATGACGGTCCATATCGTCACGGATTCGACACGTTTGTCGTTATATAAGTCAGCGTTTTTATAAAACTTCGTCATTTGCAAACATGGCTGCTAATGGTGAAGTACTCGGAGAATTGATTAAAGCCAAAGAAAACATTAAACGCAAGTATACAGCATTAAAACACGGTAAAGCCGATATTCAATCATTGGTATCAGAAACATTATACCCGATTATCGAACCATTGAAAGAAATTCAATTTCCATCAACATTTCAACCTCAAATTGCAAAACTCGATTCCAAAACTATAGACGATAACACTTTAGATTCCGAAGTTTTATTTGACTTTTTAGATTCTTCCAATAGAGACAAAAAGTATGGACCTAAAACACAATCAAACGGTGCTATACATTTAGGTAAAAAAGAAATTAAACTTACTGACAAGACTTTGACTATTGAAGATACTTCATACCCACTAACGCGAGGTCTTAGCAGTTTATTATTTTCGAAAACCCCGAAATCATACACCGCAGACGATTTGAAAACATATAAAACTATATTAACTCAAACATCAGCTCATTTAACATTAGACGAGAAAAAAATTAAAAAAGGTGGAAATAAATTCACTAATATAATCAAGCCATTGTTCCCACACGGAGGTAGTGGGTTATCTGTAAAACTACAAAAGCATAATTTAGTTTATTGGAACGACCCTAACGAGTTGGTTAGTCGCTTACGGTTACTTTTAGCCTCTCAAGCTGCTGGCAATACAGGTGTTTCCAACGAAATACTTTCAATTTACGAAGAATTGTTTGAAGCTGGCTTAATAAAACGTATTCCAAATGTCTAAACGTGATATAGCGATCGAACTACACAAACCCGCCAGAAAAAATTATACGAGGCGAAGGGTTAATGTGTATGGTAAAAACGACCTATGGCAAGCCGACCTGGTGGAAATGAGACCATATTCGAAAATAAATAAAGGCTATAAATATTTTTTAACTGTCATAGATTGCTACACAAAATTTGCATTTACTCAACCTTTAAAATCGAAATCGGCTAAAGAAGTTTCAAATGCAATGTCAAAAATACTACTCAAGCGCTCACCAAAACTATTACAGGTAGATAACGGTACAGAATTTTACAATACAACATTCGATGCGTTGATGGAAAACATAAATATTCTACGTATAGTACAACGAAGGGTTGTATCGTAGAACGCTTCAACAAAACTCTTAAAGGAAAAATGTATAGGGAGTTCACTGCACGAGGATCATATGAATGGGTATCTATTTTACCAAAGTTGGTTGATGAATACAATAATTCAAAACACAGAACAATATCTATGACACCACTACAGGCCGATGCAAATCCTTCGTCAGTGGAAATAAAACAGCGCAAAATTACTAACGTAAAAATTAAATTCAACGTTGGCGACAATGTTCGTGTTAGCACCTATAAAACCGTATTTTCAAAAGGGTATTTAGCGAACTGGTCCACGGAAATATTTAAAATAATAAAAATTAATAAAACGTTACCCGTTACATATCAATTACAAGATTATAATGGAAATCCGATCGCAGGTTGTTTTTACTCTGAAGAAATATTAAAAACAAATTATCCAAACGATTATTTAATAGAGAAAATAATTCGTAGGAAGGGGAAACAGATATTGGTAAAATGGAAGGGGTTTAACGATACGCACAATAGCTGGATTTATACCAGTGATGTTAAAAAATAATTTCAGTCGCTCTACAGACATGAACGTGTTTGGTAGTTCTCGGGATAGTGAAACAAAAAAATTTATTTCAAATCTCGAACAGTCGTTAAAATCGTATTCGTCCAAATTGATTAAATTTGAGCGTTTACTCGAAGAAAATCAAAAATCCATTCAAATACAAGAAGAACAAACGGAAACGTTACAAATAACGTGTTCAGATATAGCTGAGCGTATAAGTAAACTTGAAAAACCATTACAAGATATCACAGAACAGTTGAAAAAAATAAGCAAGTCTGTTGATACTATAAACAAACTATAATGTCGTCGGCCATTTTGGATATTCATTGTCTTCACGGAGTACACAAAAAATACGTGATTAAAGAGATGTCTATTTTAGACACGGACACTTTCGCAACTCAACACTGGATCTTTAAACACACTTCTTTAACTCAAGACGCAAAAAGTCGCAGTGTAAACAGCTGGTTACAACGTTTGTATCACGGTTTATCATTGGAATACGGTGATGTAGAGTATACAGAGATACAAAAAATATTTGATTCTTTCAAATTCACTAGAATTTACGTCAAAGGTTTACACAAACAACACATTATCAACGAGTTTATGCCGCACGCCAGCGTCTTCAACTTGGAAAACTGGGAAAATTGTCCTCGGCTTGGTGAATTGCATGAAGAAGCACTACCATGTTGTATTTTTCATATGGAGTTTAATCCTAAACAATGTACATTGTATAAAGTATTTGCATTAAAAAAATGGTATCTTGATAATGTTTAAGATTATAATATATTTTGTATTTAATAAACAATAATATAATATTTTAAAATTGGTTTATTATTTTTCCTATGCTTAAGGTAAAATTTAAAAAAAAAAGAAAATTACAGATATACAATAATATTTGAACATTGGTATAAGGTAAAATGTATACAATAACATTTGAACATTGATATAAAGTATAATTTAAAAAAATCACAGATATACAATAATATTTGAACATTGGTATAAGGTAAAATGTATACAATAACATTGGTATAATATAAGTTATAGATATTTATACAATAACATTTGAACATTGATATAAAGTATAATATAAAAAAATCACAGATATATATACAATAATATTTAAACATAGGCATAATATAAGTTACAGATATATTTAGATATACCCCCATGGTAACGTTTCTATTACTTCACCGTCCGAATACATAACCATACGTTTATCGTATTCCATTTTAAAAGTCTTTGATGTAGTTATTGTTGACAATTCCTTAGTTTTTGAATTTCGTGTTATTTGTTGAAATCGCAGTTCTATGTCTCTTATTTCGTCGTTTATTATTTTTTTCATACTGTCCATATTTAATTTTTGAATATTTTCATAACTTAGTGTAAATCCTTTTATTTTTGTGGTTGTACGATTATTATTATCTGTGTGTGCAAAACTTTTAGGACCTGTCGATACCCAGTCGGATATGTGTATACCTGGACCTAATTCATCCGTCCACTCGCCTAGCATGCACCCCGTATCCACTTCGGTTTCATCGTAAATATAAAAGACACTATCAGTATCGTAATATACCACTTTCTCGCCAAGATTATCCAACATTGTATACAATCGCAATCTTGCATTTGATGTCGTGAATGCAGCTATGTAAATATTAGTATTGTATTCGTGGCCGACGTATTCGTTGATTTTTTTATATGAAACTTCGACTAAATCGTCAGTTAAAAAAACTATGCTATCAACTTCTAATTTTTTGTCCAACAATACTTGGTACCATCTTTCCGGTTTTGATATAATCTCTGTTTTTGTCTGATTAGGTCTTTGTCCAAACTTTCCCCAAAATGAATTAAGACATATTTTAGCAAGTGCTCTTAATCCAGGATTTTCTTTTATATTTTCTATATCCAAATCGATACCTACTGCATTTTTTACTGCTAAAATATAGTCATTAACCGTTCGATAGTCATTTCTCCACGAGCTAGTTTCCAGTTTAATTTTTAAAAATCGCTGTATATATTCCTTAAATAGCGTATTAGATTTTTTTTCAAAATGTTGCACTTCGTAAATTTTTAGAATCTTATAGCCTTTGTCTAATGCTTTTTGCACTTCGTCTGTTGTCCAGGTTCCAGTAAGTGCCTTCTGTTCTTCGTCGTGTGTACACTGTCTAACTTTATCTATATGACATTTATGGCAAAGTGTGAATACTAATTTATTAGTTTTTACCGGGAGTACGGGATGATATAATTTGTTAGGTGGTAATATTTTACATTTAATAAAACCATACCAGTTTGATCTCATGTATTGATGTATTGATGGTTTATAAATTTTTTTTGGATGACCTACGGGATAGTTGTCATAATACATTACGGTTGGGTATAGACTGCACACGTCAATGTATTTAATTTTTTTATTTTTAACCATTAGTTTTGTTGCGTTTGTTCTGCCTCCGAAAAATGCATCTCGGGGGTTTAGTGACTGTTTGACGTCTTATTCCGGGTTATCAACCTCGGAGAATAATTTCGTCGTGTGCGGATGAGTTTAAATTTTACCCGATACTGTCCCTAATCAATAAATACAATGATCGTAATATAACACATAAATCGGATTGATATTTTCAATAATTAACAATAGATATTCGTACAGCCCTACTTACAACTATGTTAGTAGCTTGGACAAAGGTTTTAAATAATTAAATAATAATTAATAATAATAATTAATAATTTTACAACAGTGTAGGGCATATAGCCAACTCACGGTACCACCGATGGATGAATCCTGGAATGAGGGCGATAGAGTGATGATGATGTGGTGGGTGAAGATGATGTCTTGGATGAAGACGACAATGATGGGTATGCGTACGGGAGCGCGTATAAGGTATTACCCTGCAGCACGGACACAGAACAACAAATATAATGTTACAATAATACTGACATCTCTTTATGATTGTGCGTAAAACAGCGCGAACGGAGATGGTTCCTGTGTACTGTGAGAATCACCACTGTTCGATGACGACACCGCCGATCATAGACCGATATGTCGACCGTCTTTGAAGCCGTATAGTTCAGGCGGCGGGTTATCAATCTGTACTAAACATACTCCCCCATTGAAAGACATAGGACTTTCGAAAAGTGTAAGTCAGGTCCATACACGGGTGATACTAACATAATGATTAATATTACAATAATACAAAATTACACTATTTTTTTTTTTTACAATACATACATTTTTTAAAAATACGACAGTAGTAGAAACAAAACTATTTTAATATTATCCCACCAATGGTGGTGGAAGTGCAAATGTCGCACGTGTAATTAGCACACGACACAAAAGAAAAACTTAAAAACTAAATGAAGGACAGGATTATTGAGATTCGATAGGAAGTATGGCTAGTTTAACCACTGGCCTCACTAATGTTCCGGTGGCAGTACGTACTGTCGCAACTCGTACTACTCCATCTGAACCGGGGTGCGTATGTTCAATCCGACCAAGTTTCCACTGAATGGGTGGTTGGTTGGGCTGATGCACCAATACTAAATCACCAACCTTAATATTTGGTTTGTTGTCTAACCATTTAGATCGACCTTGCAATGATGTAAGGTATTCGGTAGACCAACGCTTCCAAAATGATTGGTACATCTGACGGAGTAACTCCCACCGCGTCAATCTATTTTGTGCAACTGCCGTGACGTCAGATTCAGGTATGTCCACTAACGGGTGGCCAATTAAAAAATCACCTGGTGACAGAGCCCGAAAATCATTTGGATCTGCTGACGGGGCTACTAATGGTCGCGAGTTCAAGACGGCTTCCACTCTTGCTGCTAGTGTAGTCATTTCCTCGAAAGTTAGTCGTTGAGTGCCGATGACGCGCTTTATGTGAAATTTAGCTGATTTCACGGCGGCCTCTCATATCCCTCCAAAATGGGGGGCTGCCGGAGGGTTAAAATGCCATGTGCACGGTATATCATTAATGTACCTGGTTCGTGCGGTGGAACTGAGTAGAGTATTACGTAGTTGCTGGTCAGCTCCTTTGAAATTTGTGCCACAGTCCGAATATATACCGGACGGTTTCCCACGACGAGCAACAAACCGCTGGAGAGCCGCCAGAAAGGCCTCGGTCGATAAATCGGTTACCACTTCTATATGCACTGCTTTGACCGCCATACATATAAATACAGACAGATAGCATTTGATTGACCGTGCATTTTTGCGCCGTCCTTCAGCAATCATGAACGGGCCCGCAAAGTCTATTCCAACGTGCAGAAATGGTCGAGAGGGGGTCACTCTACTCGACGGGAGATCTGACATGATCGGATGTATAACGGTCGGTCTGTGGCGCGCACACGTTACACATTTAAAGATTACATAACGAATGGCTGAGCGACCTGATATTATCCAGTAGCGACGTGACAGTAACGATGACACCAACTGCGGCCCCGCATGAAGGTGCGTCAAATGAAAATGCCGAATTAGTAGGGTGGTCACAATACTAGACTTAGGTATCAATATAGGATTTTGTGTTTCAAATGGCACCTGTGACTGTCTAAGTCGTCCACCTACACGTATAATATGGTTTTATCAACGAACGGTGCGAGCTGAGCAATAGACCGAGGTGACACTTTCGATGTTGGAGACTTAAGTGTATTAAACAAGTTAGCAAAGTAAGAACGCTGTGTCATACGAACAATGTGTAGCATTGCCTCTTCCGTTTCTGTGTATTGAATAGGACCATCGTGAATGGGTAACTTACGAGCACGATTGACAAACCGTAACATGAACGCAACCATCCGTTGCATGCGCTTTAACGACGAAAATTGGGTGACCCAATCAACATCTACGTTGACTAGTGATGCCAAACACATTTTTGGCATAATACTGCGATACTCAGGCAGATGTGATGGTAGTAATTTATTGACACATACCACAACCCATTCCGATTCAGGGGTTTTTAAGAATGGTGGTCCTTGCCAAAATAGATCGTGATCGATAATTTGTGAGGGGAGGAAGCCCCGTGACACACAATCAGCCGGATTTGATTGTGATGCAACATAGCGCCAGTTACACATTGGTAACAGTTCCACAATCTTTGCGAGCCTATTTGTTACAAATGTTTTGAATTGCTGTTGGGACGATGTTAACCAAGATAGAACCACTTGTGAATCCAGTTGACTCAACAGTGACTCAATTACATCATCAGGATATTGCATCATTTGTTTGTACTCTGCGTGCTTTCTCCATTTACAACTCCACATTTCTTCAACTTGATACCCTTTTGCTTTCAATTGAGATGTTCGTCGTATCGTGTTGTTATATAAATCAGTCATAGTGTTTTTATTAACAGGGTTTATATCATTAGGATGGAAGCAATCCGGGCAGCCATGCCAAAAACATCCATGATACTGATAAACTTTTTTTTCAGATTCGTCATAACCGTCGACTTTAGCACCGCATATGACGGCCTCCCCACCGTTTAAAGCATGGCGTATGTTTTTATTTTCGTTTGATATTTTACTTTTCATCCACTTGATAGACTCGTCTGAAAAAGTTTCTTTTTCGGTATTTTGGACGACTGCTATAGAATTATTTAACAAGTCATTTTGTCGATAAATTGCCATACAAACACTTGCAATTGTAATGTATTTAAATGGATCAATATTGCACACGTCCAAAAATTTATTCCTTAGTTCTAAGCACCCTCTTCGTAATATATCAACGTCCAAATGACAATATTGTTCCAACTCATTTTTGAAATTAAATACATAATTTTTGCTTGTCATCTCGTCATACCAATTTATGAATGCTGCTCGCTGTTTTCTCGCCATGGAGTTATAACCGTAATAATATTTGTCCGGTAAAGGCCCTATATAATTTTGATTTTCGGGAGTGTTGAAATAATGTGGAAAATAACCTTTTTTTGATTCCGTAAGTCCAAATGTTTTCGGAAAGTCCGCTAGCTTAGACTGTACAAAATTATGGCTGTCAATAAATTTTATATTTATTCCCCCTTCTTTTATTTCAAGCATCATAATTTTTGTTCCGTTCCGAATTACTTCATACTTCACTGTAGGCATATGTTTTAAAATATACTGAATTATAAAATATGTATCATATGCTTTTGAATTATGTGCTATATATGTTGTTCCTTTCTTTTCTCTACTAAGTGCCCATTTACAAAATTTATCATTGGCCGAACCCCCGTCATCCGTAGAAAATACAAATTTGTTTCCTTCAAAGTCGTGAGCGATAGCCATATTTGGTATGTGCGTTCCTGTGTTTTGTTGCGCTTCATAACCGAAAAATATATAATTGGTAGTGAAAGTACAGCCTTTCGGTTTTTCTGTCGATTGTTCGTTACAAACACAGGCTTCCACACAATAGCCTCCTTTTCCTATTTTCCGTTGCATATAACATTCATGTTGACATAATTTGATATTTTCCTGCTTAGAATTATGACATTTTCCAAGGCCGCAAACGCTGTTGTGCGTGATGTTCCTCTGTACGATTAAATTACATCCACCACATTTATATTCTTTATCGCAAACTTTTTTATGTTTTCTCAAACATTCAATATCAACACAATAACGGTCGCACTCTTGGCAAAAATTTTTTTCTTTTCTAAAGTCTTGGATGTGATAGTCTTCGTTACATAGATTACACTTTAGCCCTGGTCCTTTTTTACAGACGTGCTTAGTTTTATTACTATACCCCGTATCACATAATTCACAATAGTACACACGCTCCATAAATGATGACATGGAATAAATGGTATTAAAATGATCATTTTTTTTTTAATAGGTAAATCTTAATTCTATTTTCTTTACCCGAGTAGTCAATTTCACAAAAATTATCAACATTCACGACTTTAATTTGAATTTTGAGCAATTTTTCAACCTTTGATATGTCACGATACGTAAACGGCCTGTTTTCATTAATTTCTAATTGTTGACATAGTTCTTTTGTCAAACGTGTTTGTACATCGGATTTACCAAGTCACAGGTTTTTGATTTGGTAATCGTTTAAGTGGTGTCCCAATATAACCGAGGTCTTGTAAGATAGCCCCACTATAATAGCACGGGGGCAACATAATTCATCCTGATTTTTAATTTGTGCTATACATCTTTTGTTTTTGCTAAATAGGTCCAAGTACTTCCAGGACGGTTTAGGTTTTCCACCTTTAGGCATTATGATAACTTGAAAGCCGAATACCGTATCGTTGATGTTAACTGATTGATCCGACGTTAATATATCACTTATTTTATTTAAAATTTTCTGTCCTGACACATTGGACTTCATATTACCAGTGGATATTGGTGTAAAAAACTTCGGATTGTTGGCATGCATATTAACGATGTCCCCATCAGCGAAATTTGTAATTTTTTTAATATTTTCAATCATATTTTGTAATCCTTCCTCCAGTAATGTATTTAAACTAACTATGTCTAAATCCCCAGACATAGGTTTTAATGTGATATTATAATCAATCATATAAGCATTATACTTTTTTTATAAATTTAGTTTTCTTATTGTTAATTTTCAACAAGTCAGACTCCAAGATGATGACGCTGTTGTTGTTGTCTGCTAGTTTTTCTTTTTTTGTTTCGACCGGTGCATCACCTAAACATATACACTAATATAAGCATATTATACACTAATATAAAAATGTTAAATAAATACTTTGATTAGAAGGTCCAGCTTGTATATTGTCAACGAAAATATTTGGGGCTACTTCAATCATATTCTGATGCTTACCTAGAAAAAAAATATGTTGTTATATAAATATAATTAGCTTATATAGTTTATCATAATTTTTTCGAACTCATCCATAACTTTATCATAATATTCGTCGTCGTCGTCGTATTCAAACATTATATCATCTAACAAAATAAAAATATTAATGTTTGACACTAAATATAGGTGTAATTTTCATACTTTTTTATTATTTTCGAACTCATCCATCACTTTATCATAATATTCATCATCGTCGTCTTCAAACATTATATCATCTAGCAAAATAAAAATATTAATATTTGACACTAAATATAGGTGTAATTTTCATACTTTTTTTATTATTTTCGAACTCATCCATCACTTTATCATAATATTCGTCATCGTCGTCTTCAAACACTATATCATCTAGCAAAATAATAATATTAATATTTGGCACTATGTGTATAGATAATTTTTCATACTTGTTTCATTATTTTCGGCATTATCCAACGCGTTATCGTCGTTTCTAAACGTTATATTATCATCTAGGAAAATAATAATAATAATAATATTAATATTTGAACACAGCTACCCCTAACTGTTTGCTCGGTCGGTAAAAATTGTCTGAGAGATGTTGCAGGGGCTAAACATTGCCTAAGCGCAACTCCTTAAAAAGGATGCAGGAATGAAAACTAAGTATTGCTTAAACGCAACTCCTTAAAAATGATGCATGTTGAAAACTTGCCCTCCCCGGTAAAAAATATTTTTAAATTGTACTTACCATGATTTTTTTTTCGTAGATTACCATGCATATTTTGAGTGTGTCTTTTAAGACTAACATTTCGAACAAATAAAACACCACAAATCGAACATTTGAATTTTTTATTTTTTTCATGACTCTTTAAATGTCTGGTTAAACTATCTTTCCGAGAGAAAACGGATAAACACTTATTGCATTTAAACATTTTTGAACAAATATTAGTATACGCACGATATAACGTCTGAACGTAAGTTTACAAGTTGGCAGACTGACGCTTGTCAAGTGATTATTATTATTATTATTATTATTATTATTATTATAAAAAGAATCTTTTTTGAGTGGTAGGGGTAAATACCCCCTGGAAGGGATGTTTATCCTTGGAAGGGGAGAAATGTAATCGAATGACCGTATTATCCTTGGTTTGCACTGAGGTATTACAAAAGATTCTTTCGCCCTTGACAGGGGGAGTAAATAAATTACAGTTGACCTGTCTGACTATACGAAAAATATTATGTAGGTCAGTACTCATACGACTGTAACACGATATACACTTGTATGTTAAAATGTTTCGTTTACTTTTTATGTATTTTTTTTATAAACGCTCGGAGGGGCATAAAAAGAATAATGATAATCAGTTCGAAATGGCGACTCAAATGGAATTAGATGCAATGTAAGTTTAATATTATTATTATTATTATTATTGTTATTAATTCGACTTATTTAATGTTTAGTATCAGAGTGCAACCACAACCTCCACCAACTGCTGACTTAGATGGCGTATGGCATCTTATAGACGAAATACTCAGGGACGTAAGGTAAACAACTTTAACATTATTTACCTATATTTCTTTTTTTAATTTAATATTTATGTTTAGTCGAGACGAGCAAGTGTCACCACCAATCATAAATATGGCTGATCTCTATGCTTATGAAGAGTTAGCAGATACCGATGTTGCGAACCAGATGTGGAGTTTGGTTGACAAGGTCGAATCAAATGAAGTAACACGTAGTCAAATTAATTATTATTATAAATTTATTGACCAAAGGTTAGTGGTTAATACTTTTAAAGCACTCAGAGTAATGTTACAACTTAAGACAAATATCTCTAGCATGAATACTGTCAACTAGTCGTCACGCAGAAATAGTGTGTCCGGTCTCCCTGCTGGGGAGCCTTTATATAGTAGACAGCAGTCAGATTACATAGTCCTTTACAAGGTCCCACTTAAGTATTCGCTATGGCTCCTCTAGTACTTTAGAAACTAACTTTTCCTTGTGGCACTCGTTAATAGTAATTAATATATTGTGCCACGTACACCACGCGTAATACTGTAGTAATCATATTATATTATTGTGTGGTCCTAGCCTTGGCTATTGCAACACTTCCCCCACAAAACGAGGGCTTATGGTTAAGAAGACCTCTAACTGTTGTCCTACGACTAATATTCAATATTCATACTTTACAAAAAATAATTGCATTACTCTGGTGGTATAATTATTTCCTTAAATTATGTTAGTACATACACAATACAATATTTTACATTTTTTTTTTTTTTTTTATTATTATTATTATATGACAAATTCACAATGATACAACATATAAAAAAAAATAGTTTTTAAGCGTAACCTTTACATCAACATAGTCAGTAGTTTTTTTATAATCATTTTCTTAAGGCCCAAATACCCGTACAACACCATACATGGAGCTCTACTCGCCCTATTTTTCGGAGTTGAAAGGTATATAAAGCTACATAAATGCGCGGTTATTAAATCTATTTGATCCTTTGTGAAAGGACCCCCTAGCTCTGTGTTGGTGGTACTAATGTGATCCCTTAAGCAAGATGGATTATAATACCTATATGAATCCTTTGGATTCTCATGTAATTGATGGTTCATTGTTATCCTTAGCCGATCTATGAAGTGCCCTAAAAATGCTTTGTCAGCACTCATTTTTGGGTTACAGTGATTTATACAACATTTTATTAATTTACTTATTATATATTATTATTATTATTATTATTATTATTTTTTTTTTTTTAAATTTAATTTACTATGACTTTAAATAATATGGCGGTTAAAGCATCTATTATTACCGTTTCTGATTGTACGGAATGAAATAGCAAGTGGCATGGGGTTTCGTGCCCCTCTAGAGCCCCTTCCTCATTTTGCCACTCAATGTAGGTGGTCAAAACGTCCTGAATTGCGTGTAGCCTTGTATGATTTAGGAGAAACCCGCTTCTCCGATTGGCTCTCGCCAAATGTTTTAACAAGCAGACCGGCGTTTGACTACCCTCACGTAATTGGGTGGTATGTTCATCCTGACGCGGTCCCGCGCAAAATCTGTTTGAATTCAAACAGCCTTTGCGCGGAAGCCGCGCCGCGGCTTCTCAATCAAACCGCCAATCGACGACGGACGACGCCGGCGCGCGACACGCGCGCCTGGAACCGTCGGCCGACCGTCCAGCGAACCGGATTGTGAAGGCGCAGTCTCTCGTCTTCCCGACACCGTCCGGTACACGCCCGAACCCACACCCACGTTCCGTGTATTTCGCTACCGGTTCCCAACTGAATAATCTTTTGTGTTTTGTAACAATAAATACTTAAGTGACACCTCATTGCGTCGTTCGTTTGTTCGTTGTGTTTTAATAATCCTTTTTCTATTATCCCGTTTGTTGTTCCGACCCGACTGTCTCCGTCGGTCACCACCATCACCTCACCACACCACGCGGCTCAACATAAGTCCGCGTCAACTGGCTCCCCGAACAGGAATCACCGGTAAGTGAAAACTATCTTACCACTCACTACCACCCACATATACCCCCCGTTGCGCGATTGGAAAAAGTCCCGGACGCGATCCGACAAAAACGTGGTTTTCAGGCGTTAACGGAAAAACCGGCGTTACGTAATATATTACATAACCATAAAGGACGTAACGACCGGCCGCGCCGCCCGACTTACGGACGCACCGACCGCACCGCGCGCGACGCTCCAAACACACACGACGTAGGTAGGCATTAGGCAGGAACGCAAGAGCGCGAGAGGGTCTAACCACCACCGCCCAGCACCGCCACTCGCCTACGTCAACACGCGATGACCCGGGACAAAAATACCACGTAATCGGACTGCCGCCGCTTAAAGCGACAGCCGCCGCCTTCCCTAATCGCAGTAGTGCACCGGATAACGCACACACGCGCATCCGCGAAAACACTCTGCGAAGACCGGTTACTGTGATCGCCCGGCAAGCGCAACAATAACAATAACAACCCACTGACCTACATTCTGTACGCAAATAAACACCGATAAGCGGGCAACACAGCTGATCGAAGGAACGCGATACCCGTTCCAACGACAACAGCCACATTTTATATCTCCTCGTCAACAACACCGGGAAACCAACCGGAAGTCATGCCGGGAAAATATATTAATGAATTGACCGCCGCGGAATTGCGCTACGAATGCGGACAGCGCGGTTTAACGGACACAACCACAGCCGAAACCGGCGGGAAAAAAAAAAAAAAAATTTCCCCAAACCCACCCACCACAACCAACACACCAACCGCGAACACGGGACGGTACGGCAGGCAAACCGCAACCGCCCAACCCGTGCAGATACTGCGGAGGTCCTCACTGGAACAGTGACTGCCCCGGGAACACACCGCGTTCGGGAAACGGGAAATGAGTCGGCGGACACCTGTCCACGCCGCCGCCTCCACCACACACACACACACACCACCACGCCACCACACACAACGTTCGGCATTACAGACGGGGATATAACCATCAAACGCGCATCGATAAACTCGGCGTCCTCACATATATCACCCGTCCAAACATCAACAATTTCGTTAAGTAGCAGGTCACCATCACCACACCACGCGGCACCCCAAAGGTCCGCATCAACGACCCCTACTACGAAATTAACAGGTACACATACAGTACACACACATAGCACAGAGGTAACCGAAACGGATGCTCTGGTAATGGCGGTGCAAACCGCTCCCCAGAACACCGATATCGCGGT